TTGAATGAGAAAATAATTTGCTCTGTAACTTTCATCATCTAAAGTACAACTAAAAAAAAAAAACACATTTGCATCACCTTAACAATGGGATCAAGTTACTATCACCAATAATGGGGCTAAATGACATCATGTGCCCCATGATGTAATGAACTGAGAAGGATACAACATCACTTATGTAATATTCTTGCCAAAAATTCATGAGTCTAATCACGAAGAAACTATTTGACAGATCCAAATGTAGGCACACTCTACAAAACAACTGGCCTTTAACCAAACCAAACCAAACCCACTGCTGTCGAGTCAAGTCCGACTCATAGTACTCTTTAAAAAATGTTAACATCATGAAGTAAAGAAGACTAAGAGATATGATAACAAAACACAATGCACGATCCTGAATTAGATTCTGCATCAGGAAAAAAATTGCTATAAAGAACATTATTGGGACAATTGGTGTAATTTGAATATGAATATGGATTTTATAATTATCAGTGTATCAATGTCATATTTCCAGAATGTGGTTATAGTGTGCTTATATAAGAGAATGTCTTTGTTCTTAGAAGACATAGACTGAAGTATAGTATTTAGGGGTGAAGGGTGATGGTATCTCTAACTTCTCTCAGCAGTTTGAAAAAAAGAAAAACACACACAGAGAAACAGATAAAAAACAAATTTGTCAGAATGTTGGAGTCCTGGTGGCACAGTGGTTAAAGCGCTCAGCTGCTAACCAAAAGGTCAGCAGTTCGAACCCACCAGCCATTCCGTGGGAGAAAAATCTGGCAGTCCGCGTCTGTAAAGATTACAGCCTTGGAAACAGTATGGGGCAGTTCTATTCTGTCCTGTAGGGGCGCTATGAGTCGGAATCGACTCGATAGCAGTGGGTTTGGTTTGGTTTTGGTCAAAATATTAACAGGTGAATGGCCAGTGGTTAGAAGCCACCAGGCGTTCTGTGGGAGAAAGATGTGGCAATCTGCTCTTGTAAAGATTACGGCCTTGGAAACTCTATGGGGCAGTTCTACTCTGTCCTACAGGGTTGCTGTGAGTCAGAATCAACTTGATGGCAGTACTTTTTTTTTTTTTTCTCCCATGGAGCCACTGGGTGGATTCGAACCACCATCTTCTCCATTAGCAGCTGAGTACTTTAATCACTGCACCACCAGGGCCCCTATAACCACCCTTAGTTTCTGGAATAAATCCAACTTCGTCAGAATCGTTTTTTTTAATTCACTACTAAATTTGGTTTGCTAGTAATTTTGCACTCATCCTTCTGAGTGAGGTTGGCCTGTAATTTCTTTCTTGCTCTTGTCTTGTTTGGCATCAAGGTTGCAGTGACCTCACAGAAGGAGGAGGAGAGTCATCCCTCTTTTCCTAGTCTCTGGAAGAATTTGAAAAGGACTGGAATAATCTGTTCCTTGAAAGTTGTATAGAACTTGCCTGTAAAACCATCTGGGCCTTGTGTCTTCTGTGTATGTGTATATGTGTGAAATATAAAAAACATGCAAAAGAAGTGCATAAAATGTAAATGTTCAGCTTAATAAATTGTTGGAAAATAAATTACTCATATAACTGCTCCCCTCCCAGGCCAAGAAAGGAACTGTTACTAGCATGAAGGTGCCCCGTGGGACATTTGCCAATATAACCCACTCCCTCCACCAAGGCTTAACTATTATCCTAATTTTCATGGTAGTCCCTTCCTCGCTTTTCTTTAAAATTTTGCTACTTAATTACACATCAAGGAGCCCTGGTGGTGCAATGGTTAAGTGCTCAGCTGCTTACAGAAAGGTTGACAGAACCCACGAGCCGGCAGTCAGAACCCAACAGCAGGCAATTTGAACCTACCAGCTGCTCCATGGGAGAAAAGACCTGCAGATCTGCTCCCATAAAGATTAAACCAAAAAAAAAAAAAAAAAAAAACCCAAACTCACCACCATCAAGTCGATTCCAACTCCTAATGACCCTGTAGGACAGAGTAGAACTGCCCCATGGGGTTCCCAAAGCTGTACACTGTACGGAAGCAGACTGCCCCATCTTTCTCCCTCAGAGCGGCAGGTGAGTTTGAATTGCCAAGCTTTCGGTTAGTAGCCGAGTGCTTAACCGAAGCGCCACCAGGGCTCCCCATAAAGATTACAGCCTAGGAAGCCCTGTGGGGGCAGTTCTACTCTGTCCTATTGAGTCACTATGAGTCAGAATCAACCTGATGGCACACAATGACAACAACAATTATGCATGTCTTAAAGTGTAGCTTTTGGCTTATTTTTAACTTTAGGTAAGTGAATGACAACAACAACAAGTGAGTGATACAGTTAGCATTTGGTTTGGCTTTTTTCACTCAGCATTGTCTTTAACATTTATCCATGTTGTTTGTATCTATAATTGGTTCCTTTTTATGGCTATATATTCAATAGTATGACTGGGTAGTAGTAGCTGTTGTTGTTGTTAGGTGTTGCTAAGTTGGTGCTGACTCACAGTGACCCCATGTACAACAGAACGAAACTCTGCCCGGTCCCGTGCCATCTTCACAATCGTTGTTACGTTTGATCCCATTGTTGCAGCCACTGGCTCAATCCATCTCATCGATGGTCTTCTTCTTTTTCACTGACCCTCTACTTTACCAAGCATGATGTCCTTCTCCAGGGACTAATTCCTCCTGATAACATGTCCAAAGAACATGAGACGAAGTCTCGCCACCCTCGCTTCCAAGGAGCACTCTGGCTGTATTTCTTCCAAGACAGATTTGTTCTTTCTTCTGGCAGTCCATGGTATGCTCAGTATTCTTTGCCAACATCATAATTCAAAGGCATCAGTTCTTCTTCTGTCCTCCTTATTCATTGTTCAGCTTTCGCATGCTTATGCGGCAACTGAAAATATCATGGCTTGGTTCAGGCGTACCTTAGTCCTCAGAGTGACATCTTTGCATTTTAACACCTTAAAGAGGTCTTTTGCAGCAGATTTGCCCAGTGCAACATGTCGTTTGATTTCATGACTGCTGCTTCCATGGTCGTTGATTGTGGATCCAAATATAATGAAATTCTTGACAACTCCAATCTTTTCTCCATTTATCATGATGTTGCTTATTGGTCCAGTTGTGAGGATTTTTGTTTTCTTTATGTTGAGATGTAATCCACACCGAAGGCTGTGGTCTTTGATCTTCATCAGTAAGTGCTTCAAGTCTTCTTCGCTTTCAGCAAGCAAGGCTGTGTCATCTGCATATTGCAGGTTGTTAACGAGTCTTCCACCAATCCTGATGTCACATTCTTCTCCATATAGTCCAGCTTCTCAGGTTATTTGCTCAGCATACAGATTGAATAAGTATGGTGAAAGGTGCAATCCTGACATACACCTTTCTTGATTTTTAACCATGCAATACCCCCTTGCTCTGTTCGAATGACTGCCTCTTGGTCTCTGTACAGGTTCTTCATGAGCACAATTAAGTGTTCTGGAATTCTCATTCTTCATAATGTTACCCATAATTTGTTATGATTCACACAGTTGAATGCCTTTGTACAGTCAATAAAACACAGGTAAACATCTTTCTGGCATTCTCTGCTTTCAATTAAGATTCATCTGACATCAGCAATGATATCCCTCATTCCATGTACTCTTTTGAATCTGGCTTGAATTTCTGGTAGTTCCTGTCGATGTACTGCTGCAATTGCTTTTGAATGATCTTTAAAAGATTTTACTTGCATGTGATATTAATGATAGTGTTTGATAATTTCCGCATTTGGTTGGATCACCTTTCCTTGAAATGGGCACAAATATAGATCTCTTCCAGTCGGTTGGCCAGGTGGCTGTCTTCCAAACATCTTAGCATAGACAAGTGAGCACTTCCAGTGCTGCATACGTTTGTTGAAACATCTCAATTGGTATTCTGTCAATTCCTGAAGCCTTGTTTTTTGCCAGTGCCTTCAGTGCAGCTTGGACTTCTTCCTTCAATACCATCGGTTCCTGATCACATGCTACCTCCTGAAATGGCTAAACGTCAACCAGTTCTTTTTTGTACAGTGACTCTGTGTATTCCTTCTGTCTTCTTTTGATGCTTCCTGCATCATTCAATATTTTACCCATAGAATCCTTCAATATTGCAACTCGAGGCTTGAATTTTTTCTTCAGTTCTTTGAGCTAAAGAAATGTCGAGCATGTTCTTCTTTTTTGGTTTTCTAACTCCAGGTCTTTGCACATTTCATTATAATATTTTACTCTGTCTTCTTGAGCTGCTCTTGGAAATCTTCGGTTCAGCTCTTTTACTTTATCATTTCTTCCATTCCCTTGAGCTACTCTACATTCAACAGCAAGTTTCAGAGTTTCTTCTGACATCCATTTTGGTCTTTTCTTTCTTTCCTGTCTTTTTAATGACCTTTTGCTTTCTTTACTTATGATGTCCTGGAATCTATCTAGCTCCTTTGGGGGTCTGGCTCAAGGCAGAGACTCTGATTCAGCAACCTGACACTTGGGATGCTGAAAAGATCTGCTATTAAGTTGAATTATATGAAATTACATTTTGGGAAGCAAAAAACAGTTAAATAGCAGCAATTTCATATGGCCCAACCTATACCATCAACATCTGCCCTCACGACAACCTGTTCTTTCTGTTTGCTAACTGCTTACCTGTCTCCTAGCTAGGTTTTGGCTCAACATTCGTTTTCTTTTGGGGACGACGGTGGCTTTGGAGATTTCTCCAATTTCCTGTGAGTCCAGCAATTCATTAAAACTTATATTTTATTCAGGAGTGAAATATTTTGCAGTAGCGTGGAGAGGAGTTCTTTGGAGATCTAGCTCAGCTGCTGGAAGCTGAAATCCCAGGACAGACGTATTTTTCCCAGTGAGGAAACCAAGGCTCAAAGAGGTGAAATGACTTACCCAAAATCACACAGCCGGTAACAGGCACTAGGACTTGGACCTGTGTATAGGACTGGCAACCCAGGCTCTTCCCACTTCCCTCTGTCCTGTGGTGCTCCCAGATTGCTGAGCTGTTAGAGCCTGGGGCTCCTCAGTGTCCTTACCTGGTGCAGAGGAATGACGAGGAAGGCCCCCCCACCAGCACACTCAGTCACGACTGCAATGAAGTGGGGGTTCACAGCGCAGAAGTGATTGTCGTGGACGCTGCGGGTGATGGGCACTGAGTCGTAGCAGTTCTCCTTGCTGGCTGGTTTGCCAAAGACATGGCGGAACTTGGAGCTCCGGTACTGGGGGTGCCATGACATCTACAGGAGACAAAATAGGACAAGGGACGTGAGACAGGATAGTGGGACACCCAGGAATATCACCTGGAGAATACACAAGAGGGAGTGACCAGGACAGTGGTCAGCTCTATATGGGCAGTGATGTGGGTCTGAAGGGCAACTGAGTGAACAGCCTGTAATTGCGCCTGTTTCTATAGCCTCGGCGAGACGTGGTGGGGATGGTGTATAATTACTACTCATCTGTTTGCTGATGTTTTGAGGCTTTTTATTCGTTCATGTGTGAACACAAAAGGCAGAAAACCACCAAGAGAACTCATCACATTCCTTCCCTCCCTACTATCTCACCAGACAGTCCAAACCTCCTTCCCCGCAGTGAAGCGGCTAACAGTGTGCTCTCTGGAGCCAGCCTGTCTGAGCTCAGATTCCAGCTCTGCCTCTTACCAGTTGTGTGGGCCAGTGGCTTAACAGCAGCAGCCTCAACTTCCTTATCTGTAAAGTGGGGATAACAGGAGTATCCCTCTCATAGACTTGTCATGAGGATTACATTAAATGACACACTTAGATCCCACAGCACATGGCAGATACTTACTTGAAAAACAGTAGCAATGACTACCACTCTTATTATCCAGGCATCTTGAGCTTCCCTTCATCATCAGCTAGTGTTGTATTTGTTTGTTCAAAATTTACTGAGCATCACTGTGTGACACTGGGGGCTCAGAGAGGGGAAGCCTCTGCCCAGCCCTTACAGAAGCACAGTCACATGGGTGAGGTTGCTAGGGAGTCGGGGCCACTGGGACCCAGTGTACTATGGGCAATAATGGAGGTCTGTACACGGCAGTCAGGGAGAACTCCCCAGAGGAAGGAGCACTAGAACTGCAATCTGAAGGGCTCCGATCATGGGTGGAGATGATGTATGTCACTTCCAGGCTAAAGCATTAAGGCCTGCCTGTGACCATCTAGCACTCTCGTCCTTGCTGAAGGGATGAGAAGGCCACATGTTCCAAACAGTGCAGCTACAAGATGATGGAGCCTCCATCACCCTGAGCCCCTGAGGGACTGTGTGGAGCAGAGTATCTCCCTCAGCTGACATACAGCATGGCAAAGAAATAAACTTGTAGAGTGAACCACTGAGAGTGGGGTTATTTGTCACAGAGCACAGCCTACCTATCCTGACTAATACAATGCCCCATGCAGGTCCCTGCTGGCTCCAATCAATGGTCACTAGCAAATGCTCCCTGTGCTTGATGTGGTCAGAGGACAGGAAACCTGGAGGGAAGAGGTGGGGGAAGAGAAGCAGGACCCAGATCGCCTCAGGAGCCCTGTTAAGGAACTTGGGTTCTGTTATGGATTGAATTGTGTCCCCTGAAAATGTGTGTCAACTTGGCTAGGCCATGATTTCCATTACTGTGTGATTGTCCACCATTTAGTCATCTGATGTGATTTTTCCTATGTGTTGTAAGTCCTACCCTATGATGTGAACGAGGCAGGATTAGAGGCAGTTATGTTAATGAGGCAGGACTCAGTCTAAAAGATTAGGTTGTGTTTTAAATCAATCTCTTTCGATATATAAAAGAGAGAAGCAAGCAGAGAGACGGGGGGCCTCATGCTACCAAGAAACAAGAGCCAGAGAATAGCGTGTCCTTTGGACCTGGGGTCCCTGCACTGAGAAGCTCCTCGACTGGGAAAGACTGATGACAAGGACCTTCCCCCAGAGTCAACACAGAGAGAAAGCCTTCCCCTGGAGCTGGCACCCTGAATTCAGACTTCTAGCCTCCTAGACTGTGAGAGACTAAATTTGTCTTTTTTAAAGCCACCCACTTGTGGTATTTCTGTTATAGCAGCACTGGATAACTAAGACAGGCTTTGAGGGCAATACAGAGCCACTGAGGGTTGAAGGCAGGGAAATGAGAGGACCAGGTTTCACTTTTAGATGGATTCCTCTGGCTACTGGGTGGAGGAGAGGTTAGAATAGGTGAGAGGTGATGGTTACCTGGGCTGGAGCAGGACAGTGGGGACACATTAGTGAAATACCAAGGAGGGGGATCAGCTAGGCTTGGTGCCTGGGTGCACGTGGCAGGCTGTGAGGCAAGGGGGCTGGTCACATCAAGGCTACTGAAGTCAGCATGGCCTTCTCATCCTCAACAGTCCAAGCCCTCTGGCCACTCCCAGCACTCTCCTTTCACAGCCTGTCTGTGCACCTGTGGGGCACTCTGAGGCTTGGCCTAGCACCTGAGGGCCATCTCTGGCAGGGTCTGGGCAACAACTCTTCTCCAGCTCAGGGTTATCTCTATGGCAGTAACAACTCAGGTTTTTTGAGTGCTTGTTATGTGCCAGGCGCCATTCCAAGTGCTTTCCATGTATGAACTTAATAGGTACGTACTCCTTTGATCCCCATTACAGACACAAGGATGGAGGCAGAGAAGGGAAGCAACCTGCCTGGGGTCCCAGAGCAAGGCTGTCAATGGTGGAGCTGGGAGCTGAGCCCAGCTCTGTGTCAAAGCCTCCAGCTTCAGGTTCCTGCAGATAACGTGGATGACAAGAGCTCTTTCACACCCTAGCATCCCATCTCAGCCCTGAGGGGGAGGTAACATGATCATTATCACCCCCACTTTACAGAAATTGAGGCCCTGGGAGGCTAAGCCCTGGCTGGCTGCCTCTTGAAAGGGGGCTGTTGAAGAAGCCAGCTGGCCTCAGAGCGGAGCAGCATGAACATCAGTGCCCTTCTGCCCTGTCCCTCCTCCACAAACTCCTCTTCCCGCCCCACCCCAGCACTTTATCTCCACTGCCAAGGTTCTTCCAGACCTGCTGCCATGGAAGGAACTTACACAAGGGGGGATGGGCGGCACCAAGCAAGGCTTCCTGTCCCTTTGTTCAGGGTGTGAGTGCATATTTACACACAGGTGATCTTGTGCAAACTTGTCGGCATGGGTGCACTGTGTGCATTTGTGTGTGTGCACGTCTGTGCGTGAGTGCTGCACATATGCATGGGGGGTGCATATGTGCCTTGTACCTCTGATGGGTGTGCATGCATGTGCGTGTGTGCACCTGTGTGTTGTGTCTGTATATGAATGTGTGCATGCGTGCATGTGTGCATTCAGGCATGTGTTAGTTTAATGACTCAGCAATCAGAGAGCAGGAGTTTCGTTTTCCCCATAAGCTGGCACTTGCCTGGAAATGCAGATCGCAGCGGCCCGCGGCACTGTGAGGCCCTCACCCACAGGCTGGGCCAGAACAGCCAGTCCGGGCTAGGTTCACCCATGCCATCATGCCCCATCCCATCTGGCTGGGACCACATCAAAGCTACAGCGGGGCTTCTCAGGTGTGGCACTCCGAGCCAGGCTCGAGGAATACAGCAGGGTGGCATTGGTTCTGCTGTTTCTATCCCATGCATGCTTAGCAGGCCTAACACCATGGGATTAGGCTTTGAGGACTGTGAATTCCTTGCCTCCAAAAAGGATTTAGTTATTTCTGGGCTCAACATCCATTGAATTGATTCCTTAATGCCTGACAGTGGAATGGCACACTGCTTTTCCCATTCCTTACAACCCGGCTGCGAGGTAGGCGGATTCCCATCTCCATTTGATGAATGAGAAAATGGAGATGCAGGGGAACGGACTTGACCAGGATCATACCGCTATGTGAGCAGTTGAGGGGGAAGCAGAACTGAGTCCTGTCCCGTGACCCTTCTTCCAGCTATGCCACGGTCTCCCCTGTGACAGAGAGAAACAGTGTGTGTGTGTGTTTGTGTGTGTGCAAGAGTAGAGACAGAGCTGGAGGCTTGGCGGCTATGTGCCCTCAAAGGCCCCTCTTTGTCACCCAGCCCTAAACCATTGTAGGACAAGGGTTAGCTGCAGGGTGGCTGAAACTGATCCTTAACTGGGTGTGGCACAAACCAGTACAGTAGATTATTCATTAATTGCACTGTTTGTGGCCTCAGGGAAGGAATGAAAGTACCTGATTTGATCTTTGAACAGCTGGGATGGGTGGGAGTCTGCTGGGCTGGCCACCCTTGTCCCTTTGTAAGTTTGTGGTTCCACATCTAATATTTGAAGTTTTATTTATGTAGTTTTTCTCTGTCTTAAAACCTGATCTTGTGGGCATAGTAAACCATGCCCTATGAGAGGATCTGAACAAACACACTTATGTCATGACCACAGTTGATAAAGGGAGGTTAGAACCACAAATTTCCCAGTTGCTAAGAAAAAAAGAAAGAAAGATTACTGCTAAAACAATAGGAGTAAACACTCTATTTGAAGTTGATACACAAAGACCTAACATTAACACAATAAACATCTAATTATGGGTGGGTCCCTCGCTCTGCAATCCTTGACTATTATCCATATCCTGGCCTTGGCCCCAAACTTGACTGGAAAGTTCCTTTCTAATTCCTCCTGAATCCTTATCAGGGACTCTTATCCACCCCAGGCAGGTGGGGGGTGGGGGTGGAATACTGGACTCAGGATCCAAGGCCCATTTGGGGTCAAGGCCCCTATTGTAAACGCAGGCTTCTGTTTAACCAGCGATTTCCTACGGAGGCTTCCTTTCTCACCAGGCAGAAATAAAACCCACAAATCTCTGCTACTTCTTCCTTGTCCATGGTGGTGCAAAGGGTTAATGCCTCAGCTGCTACCCAAAACGCTGGCAGTTCAAGTCCAACCAGAAGCTCCTGGGAAGAAAGGCCTGGTGACCTACTTCTGAAAAACTAGCCATTGAAAACTATTGGAGCACAGGTCTACTCTGACATACATGGGGTCCTTATGAGTTGGAATTCACTCTATGGCAATTGGTTACTGGTTTTCTCCCCACTGCTTTTATCCACAATTGTTGTTCTTGTTAGTTGCTTACAAATCGAGTCTGACTCATGGGAACCTTATGTATAACAGAAAGAAACGTTGCCTGGTCCTGCACCATCTTCATGATCATTGCTGGTCTGTTTGATTCCATTGTTGTGGCTACTGTGTCAATCCATCTCACTGAGCATTTCCTTCGATTTTGCTTGGCCTCTATTGATTGTTCTTTCC